TTTTTTGTATGCAACTACAAAACTTTCCTAAAATAAAGAAAATGTCATTAATATGTCATATAAAAAAACAAAAATACCTTTTAAAATGTCTGAAATTGATATCAAAATTACTGAAATTGCCATTGTATCTATCCAAAATTAACCTTTTCAATTTAATCAATTTAGTTATAAGATAATGGCAATTTGTGTAATATTTGAATCAATTTTGGACATTCTCCTAAATGTACTTCTGTTTTAATATTATAGAGATTTCCTCTATTTCACTCTTTGTTCTTAAGAAAACATCTCTTTTCTTTTTTTTTCTTCTTGAAAAAAAAGTAATTTTATTTCTTAATTAAAAAGTTAATTCTATGTGAACTTAAGATAACATCTTTATAAGCTATACGTTGCAAGTGAAAAAATAGTTAGATTTGATGAACAAATACGAAGATTATCTGGAAATTGTTAACACTTTATATTTGGAAGAAGAACAAAAATTAGCTAAACTTTAAGAAAATTGCAGACTACATCAATATTGACTTTGACTAGAGTCAACGTCAACGGAAAACGAATTTTCTTTTCTTACACAACCTCCATTTTCGCTTGCTTCCAGTAAACAAAAAAAACCAAACCACAAGCCACGAGAAGCGTGAAATGACGAGATTACCCTTTATCGCCGTTGCCGTCACCATCACCATCACCGTCCTCCTCTTCTCTACTCCGACGGTGGCGGAGATCAAGTCTCTCACTATCTCCGATGATTCTCGTCTAATAATTCTCTTAGAGAAATTCCGGTTTACTCAAACCGGCCATGTAACCATCTCTGTTTCCTCTGTTTCACTATCGTCTCCGATTCAAGACTCGTCGAGGCTAGGGTTCTTCNTTCTCTCCGATGAATCAATCCCCAAGATCCTCCTCGAACTACGGAGAAACTTTAGCTTCTGCGTCCTCGATTCACACTACATCCTCCGTTTATTCACTTTCCACGATCTCTCTCCACCTCCTAGCTCTCATTTCAATCGATCATATCAAGTAACTTCCCCTAACTATTACTCTATCTTCTTCGCGAATTGCGTACCGGAAACTATGGTTTCGATGAAGATCAGAACAGAGATGTATAATCTTGATCCAAACGGGTCTAAAGATTACTTACCACCCGGTTCAACCCAATTACCCGGTTTGTATCTCTGTTACTTGAGTTTCTTCACTCTCTGGGTTTACTTCTGTTACAAGAATAAGCAGATCGTGCAAAGGATTCACCTTTTAATGGCGGCTCTGCTTTTGAGTAAAGCCCTGAGTATGATTTGTGTCGCTGAGGTTACACACTACGTGAAAGTCACAGGCATAGCTCAAGGATGGAACATTGTTTTCTACGTTTTTCGATTTATCGAAGAAGTTTTGCTTTTCGCGGTGATTGTGTTGATCGGAAAAGGTTGGTCGTTGTTGAAACCGAAGCTACAAGGAAAGAAGAAGAAGTTGTTGATGATTGTGATTCCGTTTCAGGTTTTAGCTAACATTGCTTCGATTGTGATTGGAGAAACTGGACCTTATATCGAAAATTGGGTAACTTGGAACCAAATCTACTTTCTTGCCGATATAATTTCCTGTTGCGCGATTATGTTAGCGATGGTTTGGTCGACGTGTTGTTCTTTAAGAAGAGAAACATCGAAAACCGATGGGAAGAACTTAGCCAAGTTACCAATGTTTAGGAGATTCTACGTTTTGGTGATTGTGTATTTGGTTTTCACGAGGATCGGTGTGTTTGTGTTGAATGTCATTGCTGCTTACGAGTATCAGTGGGTGAGCAATGTAGCTGAGGAAATCGCAAGTCTTGTGTTTTATATTTTGATGTTTTATATGTTTAGACCAATGGAGAGAAATGAGTATTTTGGTGTTGATGAT